GCCGGCCCCCGCCCCTCACCCCCAGCCGCGCCCCGGGACTCCGGCCAGTGGCCCCGCAGCCCCTCGACCGCCTGGGCTCCTGCTGGGCCCCAGACTCGCCCACCCCCCTCTCCAGGCTGCTCGGTCTCCGGGTGGTACTAGCTGACAGATTTTGGAGATGGCATTTAAAGAAGAAAAAAAAGCTTCTAACTCGTTGAGAGGAATAGGGGTTTTCTGGTTTGCACCCGGGGGTAGGGGAGGAAGTACCGAGGAGCCATCTACGCCGTATAAATCGAGGAGAAAGTCCAGATACCAAACGCTAGGGGTAGTTTGTTTCAGAGTTCGGGTCCCTTCTCTCCCAGGAACTCCCTGTGTGACCTTGAACAAATCACCGCTGGCGGGTTTAGAGCTTCCTCCAGACTAAAACGCAAGGGCTGCACAGGTGACTTCTGAGGGTCTCAACTCCAGCCATCCTCTATTTTTTCGGAGGGTTTTTAAAGGGTTCGGAGGCCCTACGTTATTGCCTCTTGCCTCTTTTCTAACATTAATCCCGGCTCCACTGCCGCCTTCTGTAAACGTCTCCCTTCTCAATGGAGACTCCTTTCTATTCATTGCCCACCAGCCATTCCCCAACAATCTACTCTCCATGCTAAGCTTGGGAGTCCGGGAAGACTTGCCAGAGACCTCATCTCCCAGCCTCTCTGAGGTGGTATTGCCCCATTAAAATCCAAATGGTTACAGGGCCAACCCAAGAAGCAGAGTGGCTGCAAATAAGTGAATCCCTTTTCCCAAAGGCGAGGTCTCCATGCCAGTCCGGGACCCCTGTGTGCTCACGCTCACGCATGTACACACACACACACACACACACACACACACACACAATCTGCATTCGTGGGCATAAAACCCTGCCACTGACGCCAGAGCCCCTTTCATCTCGGGATCTACTACCGCCAGGCAGAGGTCTAATTACCCTAGCACCCCCCTCTGGCCCTGCCGGTTCCCCCGCTGTCATTAGCCCAGTTTTACCAGCGGGGGCCATAGCCTTCCCACGGCTCGCAGGGCGGATCCTGCCTCCACAGCCTGTTCTTGGGGAAGGAGTGAGTGTGTGTGTCAGGGGAGCTGCTCTTGTAATCGTCCAGTTTATACTGAACAACAGACTCATTTGCTGAGTGGGATGCTGACCAACAGTCTATTCAAGTTGGGATGCCCTTGCTTAGTCTCAGCCACCTACACCCTGAACCAATGGAGCCACTTCTCTTACGCTGGGCATTGAGGGTTTTTAAAGCGTGAGGGGAAGGGAGAGAGCCTCTCTTGGGGCTCCTGGGAGCACAGGGATGGGAAAGGAAGCTGGGATGAGGGAAGGGTAAAATGGGGAGAGAAGAGTGCTGATGGGAGGCACACAATGGTTGAAGGAAGAACAGTGGACAGTGGCAGCTGCAGTGGGAAACTGAAGCTGCAGTGTGCAGAGTCAGCATGCTGCAAATGAACCTGTTTAGTCTGGGCTCCCAGTGGACATGCAACAGCTGCAGTGTAGAGCAGGAGGCTGCAGCGTGCAGTCAGTGCACAGAGGGTAACTCTCCGCCAATTGATGCCACCTCAACCATGATTGGATTTGGCTGAAATCCTGGGGAACAAGGTGTAGAGTGCTTAGGGTCCATGTGGAAATAGTCCTTGGGACAGGGCTACCAGAGGAGTTGAGAGATAATCCCAGGGCATTGGAAATACAATTATATTCTGCCTCAATTAGGCAGAATTTGGAGGCAATAAGTTCAAAAATACTCGCATTACTTTTAAAACGTAACCAAGTTGATATGAAGTATTAAATACTAATGAATTTTTGTTGTTGTTGTTGTTCTTTTTAGAGACAGGGTCTCTCTGTAGCCCCAACTGGTCTGGAACTCACTATGTAGACCAGGCTGGTTTCGATCTCACAGAGATCCACCTGCCTCTGCCTCCCAAGTGCTTGGATTAAAGGCTTGCACCACCATACCCGGCTCCCCTCTTTCTTTGTTTTTAAAGATGAGGTCTTGCTATGTAACTTATTATGTAGCCCAGGTTGCCTAGAATTCATGATCCTCCTGCCTCTGCCTTCTGAGTGCTGAGTCCTGGGATTACAGGCATGTTCCACCATGCCCAGACATTCTGAATTTCTCTACCACATCTGTCTTTATGCAAGGCTCTAAAGATGAAGGATGCTTTCTGAAATCCTAGATATCCTTCTTCAAATGAAATCCAGAGCCAGCAAGTGACCCTCCAAGTCCACCTTCATTTGGCCCCTGCCAGGAGTAGAGTGGGGCACATTAAACTTAAAGACGAAGGTTCACCATTCCCATTCCCATCTTCCTCTGCGTTCCCAATATGGACTTGTAACAGACCTGGACAAGGGCAAAGTGAAGGGCATGCTGCCTCCAGAGCTGGCATCTTACTAGATGCCAAGA